GTGGGGATCTGCGGGGGCTTTTCTGTGTCTTTGCAATAGGTGCTTGAAGCCCTTGCCTGCTTTCAGCGACCACAATGAAGCACCCCAAGGCTCGTGGCTTGGGGATCAGGCACGTTTGGCCACAGGTTTAGAGCAACCTGGCATTCAGGTGGGGAGAACGGTGCTCGCTTGTTCGGTCCCTGCTTGAAAACAGAGGTCCAGCGCTACTTTGCTATGCACTCACCGGTGGCTTGCCCCCCCACAGCAAGAAGGAGCAGAGCCCGGCAGCCCCCAAATTATTGCTCCTCAGGCTTCGGGGCATAGGTGGAGTGGCCCTTCCACCTCTTTTTCCTTTGCTGCTCGTCTCATCTGCCCACAAGCTGACCGCTTCCCGTCTGGGCTCGGGTGCTAGTTCCTTTGCTGGCCATGTAACCCTGCCAACAGCAACCTCTACTTAGTGCAGAAGGAGGAAAGCCCCAGCTGCAGGTAGCCCAGAGATAAGATGAGGTTTACATCTCATAGATCCAGGAGCAAAGGTGGCGGTGGTGTGAGGGGGGATGTTTTTAGACCAAAAAAAGAAAGCTGAGCACTGGTGCAGCTCTGCAGAGAGCAGGCAGCACCCAAGCCTGGGAACCGGGACTTTGTGGTCCCCGTGCAACTGTGCGCGGGCGCTGCTGCGCTGCGCTTGGCCCAGCCATCTGCTCGGAAGGGCCCTGCCAGCGTCGGGGGAGCGGGGAGGAAGGGGGCCTCCCCAGAGCATGAGGCAACAGCCCTTGGCCGCAGCTTTGCGGTGGCTCCGGAGAGCCTCGGCGACGGCAGGGAGGCAAAGCGGGGTGGGGGGTGCAGAAGAGGTTATGGGGGTGGCTTTGCTGCTTGCCCTCCCACCTTTATCCTGATGAGGGGGACATGTCGTGGGGCGGAAGAGGTTGGAGCTGCACCCACGAGCACAGAGAGGTGCCCGAGGGGTGTTGGCAGAATTTGGGTGACCAGGTAGGGCAGAGTGTACATCAGGCACCCGTATGTGCCACACAGCCAGCTGGCATGGCCACAGTCTGCCCTGCGGTGCAGTGGGTGGTGGGCAAGGCAAGGGGGGGAAAACCACCCCGGCTGAGACAGAGAACAAGAAACAGAGCGTGGGCCCTTCGCTCGGGCTCGGCAGCAGCTTGTGCTTGTCCTGCCTTGTTACGTGCTTGCTGTAATAATATTTCCCCTTTAAGGCTGGGCTGAAGTTATTTATACTTGTGGGGTGGTGACAGGAACACAGAGCGGAGCAGGAGCCCTGAACTGCTCTTACCTGCTCTGCAGCGGAGGGGCGGCCGGAGGAGGAAGGAAGCTCAGAAAAAGAGAGGGAGCGAGAGAAGGGAGTCCAAGGGAGGGGAAGAGAAAGCAGGCAGGGCATCCCCAGGGAGGGACGAGGGAGGGGACCAGCTAGGGAAAACAAAAAAGGGGTAACGAGGGAAGGAGGAAGGAGAAGAGAAAGGAGGGAGAGGTCCTCAGGGAAAAGAAAGGGGCAGAACAGCTCCCGGGAGCCAAAGGGCTGCCGGTGTCCGATGCCAAGCATCGTCGAGGGGTGCTGAGCGGGTACAGCCAAGCGGAGCAGCTCTTGTGGTCTCCTCCCAACTCTCAAGATGATGAAGAGGCAGTTTAATCGGATGCGGCAGCAGCTGTCCCATCCCAACATCACCAGCCGGTAAGGACTTCTCTGCTACCTGTGCCAGAGGGCTGGGAGGGAGCGGGATGCGGGTCCTGGAGGGCTTGCGCCGGGGCTGGACTGACCTCCCAAGGCCAGTGGCCAGGGACAAGGGGAAAGGGGGAACGACCCTGGGTTTAGAGCATCTTCAGCGTAAGCCAAGGGGCTGTGGCTCCCCGGCTCCCCGGCGCCCACGGGGCAGCAGGAAGGCTGCACTGGTGCTGCTCAGCAGGGACATGATCCCCAAGCCTGGCTACTTCTCCCAGGGTCCACAGATGCTGTGTCCATTTGGAAACGGGCCTTTCCTGAGCGTGGCTTCCCCAGGATGTGAGGGCAACGGGGAGGGACCTTCCAGCCACATGCCCTTGGCTGTGCAATGACCAGGAGGGTGTTAGGAGCTGGGACCTGCCCTCCCCACTGAGCCCGGCATGCCCCAGGAGCCAGACGCCCTGCACTACGGGCGTCCCAGGACACCCTTCAAGGAGAGGACCGGGGGTCCTCGGAGGACCCATGGAGGACTTACAGCCTCATGCAAATCCCTCCAGCCCCATCCTACCTCCACTGCTTCCTTATTTTTCTCTTCGGCTTTCCAAAGCTCTCCCCTTGCAAAACCCAAAACTGAAATTACAGGGCTGGGCCCTCCCTTCCCAGCCCCCTCGCTCCCTCTTTCCTACAGCCACCTCCGCAGGTTCCCCAGTGCTGGGAGGCTGAGCAGGACCAACCGTGTCCCCCTGGACCACAGAGGTCCTTCAGCCAGCTCAGCAGACCGGCCACAGGGAAGCAGCTCCTACATCCTGGTGGCCTCTTGCTCTTCTTGCATTCCCCGGAGGGGAGCATGATCCCCTTTCCCATCCCTCCTCCCTCCCTCCATGTCTCATCTTCATGTTGGATGCGCCTCCCTTTTGTTTAATGCCGGGCAGGCAGGAGGTCTCAAGCAACTCCTGCAGTCCAAGAGCAAGCTCTTCACCCGCTGCAGAGCCTCTCCTCCACGGGCTGCCATCTCACGTGATTTTGCTTGCCTTCAACCACGCCACCCCCATTTCCTGCGGCTCCACGGCCTCGTCCCACATCGGCTCTGGCGGGCGGTGAAAAGAGAGAAACATGAACTGGGTAAAAAGCAGCAGCAGCAGAGGGAAAGCAAACGGGGTTCCCAAGGCGTAGCAATGGCAGCGGGCCGTGAAGCGAGGTTTCCTCTATGGGAGGCATCAGGGAGGTTTGGTGGTGATGGCGGCTGGTGGATTTTGAATTTGGTTTTAAGCAGAACTTGCTGCAAACCAGAAGCTGCCTTTGCCAGATTTGCTCCTAATACCTGCTGCAAAACCGAGCAGAAAGCTGGTTTCATTTCTGGAGGGGCTGGTGTTGGTCTCAGTCCCCAGCTTGACCACAAAGATATCCTTGCTCCGGCACCGGCGGCCCCACACCTTCCGGCTACCCTGGCCTGCAAAAACACTTGCTGGGCTCCAACAGCACTGCCTTGGATTTGCCTTCAGGGGAGAGGCAGGCGGTCAGGGGTAGAAGATTTCAAACAAACAGCAAACATCCCACTCCCGCTAGGCACCCTGTCTCCAAAAAACAGGCCACACCTGGACGCTTTGACTGCGGTGCTCTGAACTGGAAGCCCTATCTGATAGGGTGTCCACCAGCCAGCAAGGTTGGCTGCCTTGCCCTGCTCCTGCTGTTCTCGTCCCCCTAGGCTCATTCTGCCCGTAGCCTTGTGTACGATGGTCCAGGCCATAGCCAGCATCTCCTGCTCCCCGGAGCCCAAAGAGAGGCGGGTGGGATGCATAAGGACCTGCCTTCCCGAGGAGGCTGGGTGGAGGTCACCCCCATCTGCTGATGGCTCTTTCTCCTTCCTCTGCAGAGCCCAAGAAGCAACCGAGCTCCTGCCGGAAGATCTGCTGCAGGTGAGGCGCGGGCTGGGCCGGCAGGCATGTGCCTGCTTGTGCCTGGGCGTGGGAACCTGCCCCGTTCCTGCCTGCGATTTGCCCTGCCGGCACATCCAAGTCACAGGGCTGGGATCTGCCCGCGTGCTGGACGCCGACTCCGGGGCCACGGAATTCAGGTTCCTGCCGCGGGAAAAGGCTTCGCCAGCTGCTAACAGAGGGATGAATCCTGACCAGGAGCTGTGCTCTCTTTTCCCTGGACCGGGGATGCTCTGGGCTGCGGTGGGATGCTGGGCAGGCTTACCCACACCCAGAGCTGAGTGGTGGGGAGATGGCCTCGGGGCGCCCATGGTTGGCAAAAGGTCTTCCCCAGTCCCACCTTTCTGCCCTCAGATTGAGCAGAGGATCGAGCCGGCCAAGCGAGCAGCTCACAGCGTGTCCAAGAGGCTCCAAGCCTGCCTGCAGGGGCAATGCGGCTCCGAGATGGACAAGCGAGTGGTGAGTGGAGTCCTCTCTCCACAGCCCGCGCTCGCCCTGGCTCTGTCCCCCACCAGCAAAGGCCCCTGCTTTGCAGGTTTTGCTGAAGGGTGGCCCGAAGCCCAGCCCAGGTCCCATCTCCAGCAGTGGCCACCAGCAGGTGCCCAGGTAGAGCAGAGCAGGACAACCCTCTCAACCATCACTAACTTGAGGCCCCCTGGGACAGAGATGGTGGTTTTGCATTGAATAACCCTCCGAAGCCCTGTTGTCCGTGTCCCTTCCTGAACCCCTGTGAACCTCTGGCACCCACGGTGCCCTGCAGTGAGGAGCACTACGGCACGGCTGGGCACAGTGGTGCCACCACTTCCTCCTCCTTGGTTTGAATCTGCCACCCTCTCCCCGGCTGCTGCTCACCAGCCCTCATCTGGGAAGCAAACAGTGGATTGCCCTGCACTCTCCTTAGCACCCCCATGATTTTGTGGGCTCCTCTCCTCTTGGCAGCCTGACAAGCCCCAGCTTCGCTTAATTATTCTCGGTGATTAAACTGTTCCATACATTTGAAGCAGTGGCAGGGCTGGGCTTGGTGACGGCCTCCATCAGCATCACGGTCCACCACAGGGGACTACTTTAGAGAAGATTGGAGGTTTTCTAACCAACTATAGAGCCTCGGTGCCTTGTTTAGCTAACTGGATCCTGGCTTTGGCTGAAGGGACATCCAAAGGGCCCTTCCTCAGGCCCCAGGGCCAACGGGGCTGGGTGGGCCAGGGGAAGATGTGGAGACCCAGCGCAGGGTTTGGCCACTTGCTCCCATGCTATGGTGGCATGCTTCACGGGGAGGGAGCTGCCACACACCAGCTCACCGTCCCTTTCCCAAATCCTTGGCTCTGTGCAGAAGAAGCTGCCCTTGATGGCTCTGTCCACGACGATGGCTGAGAGCTTCAAGGAACTGGACACAGAGTCCAGCCTCGGGTAAGTGCCAGTGGGAGAAAGGGCCGGGGGCAACCCTGAAAGATGCCAGACGCTGGCAGAGCCACTGCCTTGGCTCAGGGCTCCCACGGCCAAGCTGAGCTGTGAAACTCTGTCCTCAGAGCAAACGTTGGTGTCACAGGAGGAGAAGGAACAGCCAGCACCTTCAGCCTCCCATTGCAGAGTGGGCCAGGGGCTGGCTCAGGGTCCCACGTGGGCATGGGTATGGCGGGGGGTGTTAGGTCAGAGGGTGGCATGGCTCCAGTGTACAGTCATTTCATCTCTGTCCCCCACATAGGAAAGCCTTGGAGATGGGCTGCTGCATACAGAGCTCGCTGGCCAAAATCCTGGCTGAGTTCGAGATCGCCCTGGAGCGTGACATCCTGCAGCCGCTCAACAAGCTCAGCGAGGTAGCCCTGGCGGCCCTTCCGGATTCGCTCTCCTGTCCTACCTCCTCTTCTCGCGTCCCCAAGCCTCTGCAACTCCCTCTGGCCCCTCTCTCCCACAGGAGGAGCTTCCCATCATCCTGAAGCGCAAGAAGACGCTCCAGAAGTTGATCTCTGACTGGAACATCATCAAGAGCCGGTACAGGTCACACCTCGGCTGGGGGGGGCCAGGGCACATGGGGTGCAGCCCCCAGCCAGGTTGGGGGAAAGAGGAAGATGACTGCCTTTGGGAGCAAATTTCCCAGGGCTGGAGGTGAAGTCAAAGAGGCAACAGCTAGCTCTTCGGGAGCGCCCACCCAGTCCCTCTCTGTGGGTGCATCCCGCTCTGGGCTGAGCCGCTGGCTCTGTGGCACAGGAGAGAAGGGCAGTGCCGTTGCCGAAGGCAGCACAGTGCCCCGGCGCTGCTTGGCACTGCTCCCTCTTGCGGGGTAGCCCGTGCCGTGCCGGGTTTCTCTGGGAGAGCGGGGCAGCCGTGGGTCGCTGGTGGCTCATTTCCACACCGCCCTCCCTTTGGCTGGAGGGAGGAGAGGAAGGAACATCTCAGGAACAGGGCTTGGGAAGGGTCCTACCGACCCTGGGTGTTTCAGGCAGCTGTGCTCAGTGCTCCCCGTCTTGACAAGGTCGCACCCCTTGGCGTGGCATCTTCCTCTGGGGGAGGGAATTGAGAGGCGCTGGCCAAGGAAAGCCACCGCAGGGCAGTACTGTGACTTGCCATCCCCCTCACGGTCCCCATACCCCTTCTGCACACCCGTCGCACTCCGTGTCCCTGGCGCTGAGGCTGTGGGTGTGCCTCTTCTCTCCCACCCCAAAGGCTGAACCAAGCTGCCAAGAGCTCCAGTAACAGCTCTGGTGCTGGTGCTGGCCCCGGGGCCTCTTCTGCTGCAAACAAACTGGAGATCTTGAAGGAAGAGGAGGAGGAGGTGAAGAGGAAGGTGGAGCAGTGCAAGGTGAGAACGTCACTCGCTCTCCTCCGTGGGGCAGCTCCAGGGCTGGAGACATGCTCCCCTCCAGCGGCTCCATCCGAGGTGACCCCACACCAAGACAGACGCAGCCAGCCGGCACGTCCTGCCCTCTGCAAGCAAAACAGTCCCTCGAGGAGCAGAAATAGGGAGGTGCCCCAAGCCCAGGGAAGAAGAAGAGTACAGGATTCGAAGCACAAGCTGCTGCAGAGAGGAGGCTCCAGGGGCTAGAGCAGGGAGCTTACGGGGTCCCCTCGGGCTGGGAGCCAGCCGAGCTGGGGTCTGCGCTGGGTGGCAGGCGACTTTCACATCAGCTTTCTCCACCTCTGCCCTGTTTGTCTGAAAAGCCCAGTGCCTTGTCTGGCAGATCCCATGGGCATGCTGGAGCTGGAGGTGCAGGGACCTCTTGTCCCTGAGTCTTTTGTGCCGGGACACTGATCATAGGGTAGGTTGCTGATGCTACCCGAATACAAGCGATGGGGGCAAGGAGGAATCCCCACGTGGTCCCAGCCTACGTCCCCACTGCACCCCAGAGACCCTGTCTGGGTGATTCACAGCCCAGACGGGGGGCTTTGTGAAGACATCCCCTCTTCCTTGGGTGCCAGGGAGGAGGTGGAAGGTTGCTCTTCTCTGTGTCTCCATTCCCAGGATGAGTATATGGCTGACCTTTACCACTTCTCCACCAAAGAGGACAGCTATGCCAGCTACTTCATCAGAGTAAGTCCTCTCTCGCACTCCTCCTCTGCATGTGAACTTCTCCTGGGGTATGTGTGAGCCCAACCTTGTCCCCAACTGCACCGAGCCCTCTGGCCAGGGCAGGGGACAGCCCCAGGCACCAGCAGATGCCCAAAGCAGGTGCACATCGCTGCTAACACCAACTACAAACACAGCGGCTTGTCCTGATGACCCCCCCATCTCCAATTTGCCTTTTACCCCTCACTATAGCCACAGTCCCACGAAACCCGGGGGGGGTTCTCTTGCAGCTCCCCCTTTGCCCTCTCTCCATGTGGGTGCGATGTTCTGGGGATGGGGGTCTCTCCAAGAGGGGTCAGCGTTGAACTGAGTCCTGTTTGCATGTTCCCTGTCCGGCAGCTGCTGGAAATCCAAGCCCAGTTCCACCGGCAGTCCCTGGGATCGCTGGACTCAGCTCTGGCGGAGCTGAAGGAAAGCCACAGCCAGACAGGTACCTGCCGGCTCTCCATGCAGCCCTGGGAGAGCCACTGCCAAGCCCAGGGGATGCGAGCGTGGCTGGTGAGGCTGGGAAAGGCAGGTTTTCCCTCCCTGTGCCTGCTGCTGCCTCCCACATCACGCTGGTGGGATGGGGACCGCAGCCTGAGGCGGGC